ATCTTGGGTAGCTCACATAGTGTTGTTTGGGAACTGTGGGGAAAGAGTTTTTTTTTTTCAATATACAAACTGTGTTGTTCACTGTTATCAACTCTATCAATTGTTTGCATTTTACGCTGTTTCTTCTACTGCTGCATTGTTCTCTTTCTTGTTTTGAGTTTATTGGGATATGTTTTGTTCACCATTTGTTTGAAGAAATGCCTGAACGATGGTATTGACCCAATTTGCAAGACCTTATAATTTTTGCTCTTTTTTGAGTTTACCTGCTACCCCTTGTAAAATTTTTGTCCTAAACTCAAGAAAAACAGTTGATTTTTGGAGAAAATCTGGGGGTTGTGAACTTGTTTTGGGTAAAAAGATGTGTTCTTTGAAGTTTGTTGAGCTAATTAGAAAGGGAAAAGAAGAGCATAGTGTATGTTGTTGTTGTTGTGGAGAAGGGTCGCAAAGTGAAGGTGATATGAAGTTAGAGGCTGAAATTTTAGCCTTTATGGAGAAGTCTCAGAATCCAGATGCATTTCCTACTAGAAAAGATTTGGAAAAAGCAGGAAGATTTGATTTGATTGAGGCTATTAGGAATAGGGGTGGATGGTATTCATTTGGTTGGGACTCGGAAGAGGAACCCTTTGAGGCTGAGGAAATGGATTTTGATATTGAGGAGTTACGAAGGAGAGTTGAGAAATATCAAGAAAGTGATTCTGGTTCTGATTTTTCATCTGGGGATTCTTCTCAGCCAGCTTCCTCCTCTGGTAGATCACTGTGAGGTTCCCTCTTTGCAAATTGTGCTTCTGTTTATGTGTGGTCTATTGTGTTTAGGTGACTGCACGTTATTGTTTTTATGGTTTCTTGCATATCTGCTCTGCACTGCTTTGATATTAACTGTCATGTTTTTCCTTTTACTGCTTTGATTTGTTTGAGTCGAGGGCCTTTCAAAAACATTCCCTTTAGGTAATGGTAAGGCATGCTTACACTCTATCCTCCCCGGATTTCACTTTGTGGGTTTCACTTGGTATGTTGTTATCGTGTTTCTTCTATTTGTTTATCTTGGTTCTTGTTGATTAAGAATAGTGTGTCTAAGGATTTTGCTATTAGTGCAAAATCTTTTACTTTGAGCCAATAGAGTTATTTGAAGGTTTCTTTGTTTTTAAGTATTTATTGTGATTCAATTTGTTTGCCATTCATCATGGATTGTTTATTGTATCTGGAATCCTGTGATAAGAAGGTGCCACCAAAATTTTAAGGCAAGTTCTACTAAGCGGTGGTTAGACTGGTCATGTTGTATGGGAGTGGAGTGTTAGCCAATATAGAACTCCACCTTCAGAAGATGTCGGCGATGAGGATGCTTAGGTGGATGTGTGAGCATACTACTTACTAGGAGAGACAAAATTAGCAATGAAGATATTTGGACAAGGTAGGAGTGGCTTCAATAGAGGAGAATATGATGGAATCAAGGCTGAGATGGTTTGGGCATGTGCAGAGGAGATGCACGGATGCCCCCGTGCGGAGGTGTGAGAGGTTGGCAAGGGATGATTTCAAAAGAGGTAGAGATAGAGCAAAGCAATATTGTGGAGAGGTGATTAGACATGACATGCAGTTGCTACAACTTATCGTGGACATGACCTTAGATTGGTGGTTATGGAGGACACATATTAGTGTAGGAGGTAGGTTAGTTCGTTGTGCGTTGTCCTTTGAGTTTGGTTATTGTTTGTGTTTTTCTTACACTTTGATTATCGTTGTATCTTGTTATGACAATTGCTTAGGATGATTTCTCAGATTGGATGTAGTGTTTTGCCATGACTGTCTTCATTTATGTTATTTCTTTACCTATAGACTGTTTCATTTCACGAGCTGAGGGTGTATCAGAAACAACCTTTCTAACTCTAAGTAGTGGTAACGTATGCGTACACTATGACTTTGTGTGATTACACTGGGTATGTTGTTGTTATCTGAAAATTTGTTAAGTGCTTCCTGTGTTTAAAAATATCAAGAAAGTGATTCTGGTTCTGATTTTTTGTTTGGGGATTCTTTTTAGCCAACTTCCTCCTCTGCTAGACCACTGTGAAGTTCCTCCTGCAAAATGTGCTTATGCTTGTTCCGTATCATGTTTCCTCTCTTTTGTCCATTTGTTTATCTTGGTTCTTGTTGATAAAGAATAGTGTTTGTCACTTGAAAGATTTTGCTATTAGTAGAGAAACTTTTACTTTGAGCCAAAAATAGAAGCTATAAGCAGGATTCTTTGTTTCCAAGTGTTTATTGTGATCCAATTTACTTGCCATTCATCGTGGATTACGTTGGGTTTATGTAAAAATTTTGTTAATTGCTTTAGTATCTTACTTTCCTTTGCCTTTGTATTAGAGAAGCTGTGGTTGAGGAAGATAGCGCAATTGAAGGGATTGAAGGGATATTGAACCGATTAGAGAAAGAGAGAATCTCATCTCTTGGTATTAATACTAGCAAATATGGATATGGAGCTAATCATTCAAGTAGGGATAACATTGATGACACAAGCTCTGGAACCACTACTACAGGTAGAGCTCCATACAGGACTGACCTGGGAAAAAATGGAAGCCTCACGACAAGTAGCCCCACTAAAGGCGGTTTAAGTGATTCAGCAGGTCAGCTTAACCATCAATACACGCCAGATATGTGGAGATCATGGAGCACTCAACGTGCATGCCCCGAAGGCACCGAGTTTGAAGGTATTTGCTTCCCTGAATCTAATCATATTCATAGTTTGTAGCCTCAATTTGACCCCTTCCATGTACAGTTGGTGAGGTAGATTTTGATAAGAGACCAAATGGAGGTAAAACTGAAACTTCAAGACATGATGTATTTACCGTCAAAGAGAATAGTTACGGAACTCCGGAAAGATGGATATATAACAACCATAATGATATAAGTACTCGTCTTCAGCATTTAGAGCTTGAGCTATCCTCAACACTTAACTCGCTGAGATCCAAGAGCCTAGAGGTCAATTCAAAGGAGGTAGAAATCTGCATCTCCTGTTTGTTCAGAATTGCATCTTTCATTAGTCATGCATCTTAATGTTAATTTTCCTACTATTATAGCTTTTATGTTCTATTTCATTCTGTATCATGGGGGATTTGACTAGCTGTAATGCAATTCTTCCAACCCAAACCATCAATGTCGCTCACTTTTGTTAAATGTTTAAATCTGCTCAGTATTGCTCTACCTCAAGATATTTTCTTACTGTATTTCTCAGAGCACAGGGAATTTATTCCTACCAGAGATTTTCCTGTGGATTTGAACTCAATAACATTATAGGATGGTAGTTATTCCTTGTACTCCCACATCCTCTCCCAAAGAATAGAAAATGATCTAACAGCAAATTTCATTTCACCTGCCACCGGTTTAATTTGGAAATTCTTTGAAATTCCAAAATATATGCATTCTATCTGTTGGTATTTTTGCGCGATGACACTCATATCACTGAAATCTTGTTTTCTCAGGTTCTTGGAAGATCCCCTAGTGATTTGCAGAAGCTTTCTGATGCACGGGAGTTCCAGGAGAATGACGTCATAAATGCTCAAAAGAGATTGCGGTCCATACGTGCAAAACTTGCAATACTGGAGGGAAAAGTTGCGTTAACATTGACGTCTGTATCATTTCTCATTCCTTTATTATTCATTTTATTCTATATACCCACCAATACTGAATCCTCACACCCTATTCTTTCAGTGATGCAGAGAAGTTGTTGGCAAGGAAGCAGAAGAAGATTGACAGTGCTAGCAAAGCTTTACAGCTTCTTCGTACTACTCAGATTGTTTGGCATAACTCTGCCTCAGAGGTTCTTCTAACAGGCTCATTTGATGGATGGACAACACAGGTTCAATTTTACTTCCCCATATGTAATAAGGAATAGGAGGCAACATTTTACTGACAAATAGTTAGAAAGTACAAACGTGAGCATTTTTTGTTGTTGGTGTTAAGCATCTGTTTCTGTAACTTAATTTGGAAGTAGCCAAAACCACTAACTTTACTAAGGGTGTTCAGGATTTAATAAATATGTACAAAAAGTATAGTTAACCTATATACACTATATAATTATCTAGCTAATGGTGTTCAACTGGCCGTCCTTGAGTGTATGTGGCTTCTCCCAGTTACTACACAATATTCTGTACAATAGCCAAAGAGTCGTTTGTTTAACAGTATTTTAACCCACTTATATCTCTTAATATTGAAAACTCTGCAGTTCTATACATCCGCTTTCACAAAAAAACAAAACATATTTTGTGGTAATAGTTTCAATGGGCTTCTTGTCCTTGGTTAATAGAATGATATGTTGTATTGACTTGCAGAGGAAGATGGAGAAATTGCGCACTGGTGTTTTTTCTGTAAGTTTAAAGTTGTACCCGGGCATCTATGAGGTGTGTGTAACCCCTTGTAATGTGATATATGAACTTATACTTTAAATATTATATCGTATTTTGAACTTTGAAGTCGTTGCCATCATCTCATTCTTTTGTTGCAGATCAAATTCATTGTTGATGGCATATGGAAGGTTGATCATTTGAGGCCCGTTGTTCACAACAATGGTCATGAAAATAATGTTCTCATTGTCACATAACGGCAAGTCGCAGAAAAGTTACTGTAGGAACTGATAGATTAGAAACTTGATACTATGTGTTGTTGTTTTGTAATTACTCCCAAGCAGCAAATGTCACGAAAGAATCTGATTGACATTGTAATGGTAGGTTCCATCATTGAATTTTGTAGTTTCATTCCATTCTTTGCCACACAACTGGTATAGAATCTGATCCCCAGCCATATAAAGTGAGCACGTGTTCAAAATATCTGAGCTAAATTTGGATCAATTATTCTTTCAAGGCAGTGATATTCTTTTCTGTATCATGTTTCCTTATCTATTTACTGTACACATTTAGCTGGCTTGTTTGAGACGAGAGTCTACGAAACAGCCCATGGAGGTATAGGTAAGGTCTGCGTACAACCTACCAACCTCACTCATGGGATTACAGTAGATATGCTGTTGTATTCAGCTGGTTTATTGCTAATTTTAGAGGAGAAATGTTTCATACAGAGATTGTACATTGATTGACATTGCTTGCAACAATTGATTATTTTGATAAGCAACATAGTGAACAATTACATTCCAAATCCTGAACATTGCTATATTAGAAACTGGACTTCACAGTATACGTCCTGATAACAAATGTAAAACCACTGCCACAGTAAACTCTACCAACACATGGTTTCCTGGATGGTTCATTGCGTAAACTTACAGCACGAGGGCCAGTTTGATCGTTTGTATCTCCTAAACCAAGCTGACCGTGTTCACCCCAACCCCATGTCATTACTGATCCGTCATCTGTTGAAATGTTAAAATAGTACAGAAGTGAATATGCAATTGATGGTTTGTTATGTGTAAACTTTAACATCAGATTCTCACCTGTTACCACGGCAGAATGCTCAGCTCCTGCACCAATTTGGACAACCTTTGTACTATTGAAGTCGAGGACTCTTTGCAGGACACCTTCATCTTCTGTGCAAATGGAGCCACAGGCAGATACTTAATACAATATGATTTGAAAATTCAGATAGAGTAAGCCATTAAATAATTAGGCTTAATTGTTGTTACCTTACAGTTGGTGTGGATAAGAATAAGCGTTAGATGTAGAGGACCCTGAATTTGCCTAAAAACTATTACTGGTAGTGAAATGAAACGGACCTATTCAAATGGAATAGATATGGAAGATTCATATAGCCGATCCCAACTAGTTTGTGATTGAGACCTGATTGGCTGACTGAATACACCATCAAATAGCAAAAATCATAGATTATCAATTTGACAACATTTCCAAAAGACATTTCAGTGGGTGAGAATTGCAAGTTCACGTCCAATAAGTGAAGTTTCACATTATGTTTAGGAGGGTTGACTTGGCCAAATTATTATTGGACTGATACCACGGGATACTTGTCACCTCCCACCATCAACGAGTATCAAGTAACTCTATCCACAAAGGCGAGGACAGATGGGATGAAATAGTGAATATTTTGTTTCAGCTGGGATTTGGGGTCCTTTACCAATAATTCTTTCTATTTCAGGTTAAAAATTCCAATGTTTTTTCCTCTTCAAATATTAACTAGACACAGGTAACCTTAGCTCTTCTATTGAGCTTCTGAATGAATCTGATATTCTTTCCATCATATATTTGGAAAACTACTTTTCCCCTCTTTTAATGTCATTGCATTTGATGAAATACAGCAGCCAGTACTGTTCTGTAGTTTGGTGCCAAAGCATATAGCGAAAAAGCCACCAGAGTGCTGCTTCGCATGAGTATTTTTGTTTCTCTTATATGTTTATTACTTATAGAGGTCAATTAATCGGGCAAAAGAACAACAACAACATTTCGGTGTAGTTCCATAAGTGGGGACTGAGGAAGATAGGATGTACCCAAACCTTACCACTACTTTAGTGGGTTAGAGAGGTTGTTTCCGATAGACCCTCAACAGAATGATGCATTACCAAAACAAGCTAGAAAGCAGGTATCGGGCAAAACAGGGATTTACAAATGGATGGTCAGTATGACAACTCATGACCACATAGAAACACATGATTTTATGAGAAGTTTAGTTTAAAGTGTTTTTAGCATCATTTTCACCTTTCAACTTAATTAAGAGAGGTAATCTACTTCTTTCATACAAGGATTCAGTCAAGTTAAGAGAGAAGACCATCCATTGTGAGAATCCAATCTGAAGAAGCAGGAGAAAAAGACGAAAAATCCGTAAAATTTTACAAAAGTTTACACAGAAAGGTAATTGAAGATCATTACCAGATATATGATTCATCCCATTGGCTTTTTGAGCACCGGTAGGAACATTATAATTGTACCTGCCAAGCATGTATACTTCCCCATCACCTATGAAAATGGTAAAAGAGGACATATTATATTTTTATATACCTTGTAATATTCCCTTCATGTATTATTAAGTTGGTAATAATTGAGATCTAAAGCCTAACATACCTGTCAATACAAGAGCATGGTTCCACCCTAAAGCGACTTGGCTGAATAATAAGTCTGCAGTAACACGGCGGGGAGTATACACATCTGGGGCTCCATGAAATGATCTTCCCCATATATATAAATGTCCATTCACTTTTTTAAAAAAAGGTAAAAAAACTTAGCAATATATAACAGGTGACAGTATTACCAACTTGATAAGATTATCATTTATTAACGGGACGAAGCTACAACCACCAAGTAGCGAATGCTGAGACCAGATAGAGGTTGGACCAGTATCATTTGTATTAGATTACATAAGAGCACTTAAAACTTACTGGATATTGCTGCGCTGTGATCTCCATTTGCAGTGACACTCCTGATTTTGACATTTTCAAAACCCAAAGTAACCTGAGGAGTGCTAACTGACTTCAGTTTGTCATCAGATATACCAAGTTGACCACGTTTTCCGGAACCAAATCCGTATATAAGATCCTCTGTATCTCCTAAGAAGTTGATTGGAGTGAAAAATCAGCTTCAACAAATTCAATGTACATGCTTATGTAGTGAAAAGTGTATGAACAAGCAATCAACCTGCTTTTTCTATCCAAACAAGGTGATTGCCTGATATGAGACCAGATATATAGAAATTATTAAGTAATGTACGATAACGAGTAATCTGTTCTTGAATTGTGTCGTTAACTATGACACACAGAATTCATTTATATTATTCTTACTGGATTATGATATTTGTGACATATCTCATAAAACCAGCTTAATGATATGATGGTGCAGATCAGATGTTAATTTTAGTAGAGAAGTAGCTAAAGAACTCCGTTTTCCACAACTGTAAGAGAGAACGCAGAATTTCACACTGAATTAATTGTAGTTTTGTTGTCACAATGAGAATAAAGAAACTATTGGCAACCATGCAGTAATATCTGGAGTTCTAATGTTAAAAGGCCTGATTGCTGTGACTAGTCACAACTCAAAACAATTTGATTTCATTTCAAGCTCATGGCAATAACCCATATAGTGATTAGCGAGAGTTTTAAGAGAAGCTTCAAAGCACTATCACACTATTATGGAATATGACAAAACTATGGCCAGTTATACAAATGAGAACAGAGATCCAGCACACAGCGTTCTCCGAAAGCAGCAACAGTGTTACAATGTTAATATAACCGGATAGACAAAAAGTGCAATACTCAGCCTGCTTTACCTTTTAGTAATACAAGTGAATGACGCATACCACAAGCAATTTGCTCGACATGCCTAGCCTTGAAGTGCAACACTTGTGCAGGAGAACATCTTGAGATATAATCCTCATGCCCAAGCTGACCAAATGAACCATCTCCACAAGTGAATACGTAACCAGTATCTGGTAATTGTAGAACATTTACACTCAAAGGCAAATTAAAACAGGTAATCAATTAAACAAGATTTCTCCAGTGATATACCACAATTCTTCAAATTGCAGCAAGAGAACATAAAACATTCAGGAATATACTAAACCAACAAGTAGTTTCAAAAGTTCATATCATCTTTTTTTTCCTATTAATGGTGACGGAAAATTTCATATCATCTGTTTCCCAAAAGCTTTCAGTATCATCAGGAAAAGACCTTTACGAGTAACCTAGTGCACAAAGATGGCTTCGAACAAGGATATACAAATTTCTGCTGTAGTATCTGCACATTTCAATGTACCCTAAGCGTGAAGGAGTTAACTTTAACTTGGGAAGCTCAACAACAACAACATATCCAATGTAATCCCACATCAGTTCCAAAAGACCCTCGGCTCAAGTGAAATAAATCAAAGTAGTTTTGAAAAAGGAATTACGACAGTGGAGAAAACATAGGAAAACATAACTGAAATCTCATGAAACATAATTGGAATCTCAATGCATGGACTTCCAATTACAATATAATTAATAATATTCAAATACGACCAACTGAGTAACTTGAAATAAAGTATTTTGGAACCAAAAAAGTGATAGCACGAAAAATAACAATCCAAATATCACATTAGATTGATAGCTGAAGCAGAGAGAATGAAACCTGAAACAAATCCTGAGTGATTCCATCCAGCAGAAGCATGTGTAATGAAGATACCTTCCAAATACTCTACTGACTTTGGGTGTAAGCAGTTAACCATCTCCCCATGTCCCAACTGACCTGAAGTACCTCTCCCCCAAGTTAGCACTCTTCCACCTGCAAAACCCCCAACAAAAATGTTTTTACTTTGAAAAGTAAAAATCTTTCTACTGAATCTCACACCAAAGATGATATCTTTACCCAACAAGCTTGTTCTTTTTCTGTTTCTCTTTCTGTGGAAGTTCATCTAAACACCATCAAGTATTTTCCTTTTTATTAAAACAAATAAGTCACAATATTTCCATTGATGCTCACATCAAGATGGTACCATTTTTACTTCAGAACCCCATCAAGATCTCTTCTTACTTTTTTCTGATATAATATTTCGATTGAAGCTCAACTCCAAATACTGCGTCGTCCTTACTGCGAAACCCTATCAATGTTTTCATTCTTTCGTCCCATTGAATTTGAATCTCACACCGAAAAGGTGTCATCTTAACCGCGAGACACTGTCAAAGTTTTCATTTTTCCTTCTTTAAAAAGTCAATATATTTTCATGAAATCTCACATGAAAAAGGTATCAACTTAACTCCAAAACCTTAAACCCTGCTATATCTTAGTAGCTCAATTAGTTGGATACATGAACTTTCACCTTGTTGGTAAGGGTTCGATTCTCTACTATGTATTTCTTTCCCCATTTTCCCTTCTCCTAACCCCACCCTCCAAAATAAAACTTAAACCCTATCAAGTAGAAAATACACAGATTGAATCTCACACAAAAAAGGTGTCAACTTTACTGCAAAACCTTAAAACACGAGAAATCTTAGTAGCTCAGTTAGTTGTATACATGAACATTCATCATATCGATAAGAATTCGATTCTCCATCCTGTAATTATTTCCCCTCCTCCTAATCCCAAACCAAAAAAAGAAAACTCAAACCCCATCAAGTAAAAACCACATAAATACACAAATTCGAATCTCACACGAAAAAAGATGTCATCTTTACTGAAAAACCATAAACCCCATCAAGAATATAAGTTCTGAGAGTAGATTAAAAGATCATACCAGGGGTAAGGGCAATGACATGAGCTCCACCACAAGAGATATGAGAAATAGGACCAAAAGAAGAAAGAGAATGAATGAGTTGAGGTTTGTGTTCATCTTGGAGTTCTCCTGTTCCTAATTGTCCCTCTGTTCCTGCTCCCCAGCTCCATATTTCTTCTTCTTCTTCTTCTCTGCTTTTAATTCTTTCGGTTTCTTCCATCAATCATGTACTTTTATCAACTTTGATTTTGCAGTAAATGAGATGATTTATGATAATCTTAAAAAGAGAGAGAATTATTTGTAAATCTATATTTAATTTTAAATTTTATCAAATAGAAGTTTCTTTCTACCTAAAAACTAATTATTAATTTTATTTTTAAATTATCGATATCCTTAAAAATATCTCAATATTTAAATAACTAAACTTAATTTATCTGCAATCGAATTCTTATAGAAACATAAAATAAAGCGAAAAGTGTTGAAACTCTCTAAATTTGAATAGGATTTAGAGATAATATATCACTTATATTATTAAATCCGAATATATTTCAATTTAATTAGTTAATCAAAATAAAAAATATTTTTTAGAATTTTCAATAATTATATACTATTTAATTGCACTATAGAATCACAAGATAATATTAAATTAAAAAAAATTAATTGTTTAAATTAAAAATAATTAATCTTATAATATTTTTTAAAATAGTATATTTTAATTAAAATAATCATAAAATCTAAAGTGCATAATTTATATGAACATGAAATATACGTTTAACAAAATATTAATATCATCGAATTATAAAAGTATTTGATAAGAAAATAATTTATTAAATTTTAATAAAAATTTATGAACATGAAGTATATGTTTAATAAAAATATTGATGTCATCAAATTATAAGAATATTTGTTAAAAAAATAATTTATTAAAAGTTAAATAAAAATAAATAACTCGCAAGGTAAAATATTAGTGAAACAAATATAACAGAAATTCAAAGCAAAAAAATTCACTTTCCAAACAGGTCCTAAATGTGGTGGTTTGAGACGTTGTCTAAGCAAAGCAAAGGCGATTACCAGTGATCGGCGGCAACGATGATGGTGGATCTGAGTTCCTTCTCCGACGAGAAATTTGATCCGAAAAAATGGATAAACTCAGCGTGCCAGTCACGGCATCCACAGGATCCACTGGACAAACACTTGATAGATCTGGAAATGAAGCTTCAGATGGTGTCTGAAGAGATCGCCGCTTCCCTGGAGGAGCAAAGCTCCGCCGCACTCCTCCGTGTCCCCCGCGCTAATCGAGATGTCATCCGCCTTCGTGACGATGCTCTCTCCCTTCGCTCCTCTCTCTCTGCCATCCTCCAAAAACTTAAAAAAGTTCTCTCTCTTTCCCCTACATTTTTACATTTTCTGTTATTGCATCATTTGCTTCACTGAAATTAAAGCAATGACACATTTCCTATCTCATAACTTTGATTCCTTTGCACAGGCTGAGGGATCATCTGCTGAATCTGTAGCTACATTAGCAAAAGTTGATACGGTCAAGCGGAGAATGGAAGCTGCATATGAGACATTGCAGGTAATATTTTCATAACTCTAGATGAAATCATTCACTGTATTTAACACTAGCAATTATTCCAGTTTCATGCTAATTTTCTGATTTTATGACTTCGAAATACTTGAATTTTCTGGTTTGAAGGATGCTGCTGGTTTAACTCAATTAAGCTCAACAGTGGAGGAGGTATTTGCTAGTGGTGACCTTCCACGAGCTGCAGAAACTCTGGCTAATATGAGGCACTGTTTGTCTGCCGTTGGAGAGGTGAGTTTCGACTTGCTTGTTTTTACATAGCATGCCAATGTGTGTGGTATGTGCAGTGAAATAGTTCTTGCTTTATTAAGTCTTTTGCAATTTCAGGTTGCTGAATTTGCCAATATTAGGAGGCAACTAGAAGTTTTAGAAGACAGACTAGACTCAGTTGTCCAACCTCGACTGACAGATGCTCTAAGCAATCGAAAGGTTACTTTAGCTCTCTTTCTCCTTTGTAATCCTTTTCTAAAGGTTATATTGTATGTTTTTAAATGAATGCATTCTTGCATCATAAATCTTTAAGAGAACTGTAATAAACGCTTGTTGCTATTTTGTAGGTTGATGTTGCCCAAGAAATGCGTGCGATTCTTCTGAGAATTGGGAGATTCAAGTCGTTAGAGATGCACTACACCATGGTCCACCTTAAGCCAATAAAGCGGCTTTGGGAAGATTTTGACTTGAGGCAGCAGGCCAATAAAGTTGCCAATGAAAAAAGTGAAATGGATAGACTATCAAATTCTCAGGATTTTCAACCGTCCATGATATCATTCTCAAGTTGGCTGACTAGTTTCTACGATGAATTGTTGCTTTATCTTGAACAGGAGTGGAAGTGGTACGAATAGCTTTTCTGCAACTTTTTCTTAGATAATTCTACTTAGTTTTGCGCCTAGGACTTTGGTTCAGTGGAAGGACACAATGTGAGACGTGTGAATGGGGCGCATGTCACGGGTTAGAACCCTGCCACTGACTAGTTGCCTGGAATTTATGTAAAAGCAGGGTAGAGGGAAAGCTATATTCTCCAGAGTTTTGAACTGTGGACCAACTTATGTCGGGCCAGCTAACTCACTTGGTACTTTTTCATGAAAAAAGAAAGAAAAATCTACTTTGTTTTCCTCCTAGAGATTGGAAGTCATATGCTCTCTTGCTTTCAGATTTTTTAATTTTGTCTTAATTGAGGTTACTGATTAAGCATTCTTATATTCTAGACTGACATCTCGATATTGGTTCTTATTCGAGTACAACTTAGGAAATAAAAAGATTACTATAATGAAATGGATAAACGTCCCAAAACGAGTTGTTGGCTGGGTTTAGGCGTTAGAGTAAGAACCTGGAGGTCCAGGGTTTAAACAATGTCTTTAAAGGCTTCCTTGAGGCACCAGGCGCACCTAAGTACTGAAACTTAGGTGCATTGCAGGTTGGGAGTTTCATTTCAGTTAAGTGGTACTTCATTGCAGTCATGAAAGTGCTTAGGTGTGCTTCTCATTGCTCACGGTATCTTGAAGTGGCAGGAACTAGAGTAAATACACGTGGAAAATTGATATCTGAAATCGTAATAAAAATGAGGAGACAACCTGATATCTCCATTTAATGATCCTCTAGTGAACAATAGATATTTTTGTTGCAGGTGTATGTTTGCCTTTCCAGAAGAATACAGAACTCTTGTACCAAGCCTACTAAATGAAGCAATGTCAACTATTGGTGTGAGTTTTGCATCACAGATCAATCTTGCCATTGGGGATGCCGTGACTGAGACAAAAACCTTGGCGAAAGGTGAGGTTTTATTATTCTTTAGGAGTTTTTGAGAACCATGATCTGAATAACTTCTTGTTCTCTTTCACAGTTGCATGTAGTTTCATCTAAGCATAAGTTTATCGTGTTTTCTGATCTTTCTGTTATGATGTTGCCTTCTCTGTTTCATCAAACATTCTGAAGAATTGGTGTCCAACTAGTTCACAAGCATATAAATGGCTTAAACTAGTCATATACATGGATTGTTGAAATTGAAGTTTTGAGCGTGCAAATCAACCATGGATGTCACTATCACCAATTTATGCATGCAAGATTCAGCTCTAATTTCCCTATTTTGTTGTTTTTGGATGTCACTATCGCTATACCTGGATAACAAAGTTCTTGGATGTTTTCCATCCATTCTGCCTCAGATTTTGCATTGACTTTCAGGTATAATTGACATTTCAAATGGAGATTTGCCAAAAGGTGCCAAGATTCAGACTAAACATTTGGAAGCCCTTATTGAACTTCATAATACAACAGGGAGCTTTGCTAGGAACATTCAACACCTGTTTTCAGATGCCGATCCTCAAGTTTTTCTGGATGCTCTGAAGGCAGTGTACCTTCCTTATGAATTTTTCAAAAGGCGGTAAGCATACAAAAAGCAAATATTCTTGTTTATCCCTTTTGACTTCTCAAATTCACATTTTTTTCCTGCTGCATATGGCATCCCCTTGTCCAGATACCAATTTTTTTCTTTTCATTTTTCTTGGTGCTTTCTCTTGAGGAGCAGTACACTGGCTCTCATGCGAAGGTCTTTTATTTGATTGAAACGCATTTTTGTGGTGTGATTGAGTTGAGTACCATCATCATGTAAGTAGTATATATAGCCTTAGTCCTTTCAAGTCTTGTATTATTGAGTTGAATATCATCATCACGTAAGTTGTATACATAGCCGTAGTCCTTTCAAGTTGGAGATTATTGAGTTGGAGAAGTTCGTTCTCTTCTAGGTGACTGAGTTGCAAAATTTAGTGCTTTTGATGAGGGTAGCAATATGGGTCCGTTGATTCTTCTTTCATTTCTTTTATGGAAGTGTTTTTAGGAATAATGACTACTCAGTATCTTGTGATATGCGATATTACATCACTCTGTTTTCTCTCACATCCTTGACCTTTATGCTAGATGAAGCATAGGTGGAGCTGGTTGTAATTTGTAAGTATCAACTTGTAGGTAAATTAACTTGAGGTTTCCTGCTTAAATATCATCATCCTGGTACAATCAGAAGTATTGACTATTTACATGTAAAGATAACGTGTTGGGTGGTTTTGGTGGTTTTGTTAGACTGTTCAGCATGTTTTTCAAGTACTTCGTCTGGTGCCATTGGAGGATCTGGAGCGTAATTGCAAGGTTATCTGCTTTTCAGTATCAAGTATGTGTATCCTAAATGCTTTTAAATTTGTGATCTAGATATGGACAGATGGAGCGTGCAGTTCTCTCTAGTGAGATTGCAGGACTTGATCTCAGAGGAGCTGCTGTTACTCTTGTGGGAGTCCAGGGAGTTGAACTTAGTGAAACTGTACGAAGGATGGAAGAGTCAATTCCACAAGTCATTTTGCTTCTTGAGGCAGCAGTTGAAAGATGCATCAACTTTACTGGTGGCTCTGAGGTGGATGAGTTAATTCTCGTGCTGGATGATGTCATGCTACAGTATATTTCCACTTTGCAGGAGAATGTAAAATCACTGAGAGCTGTTTGTGGACTGGATGTGGATGCTATTAGTACAAAGAAAGATGCAGGATCAGAAAGAAGGGAAACAGCTTCAAATGCACGTAAAGTTGACTTCACATCAAGTGAGGAGGAGTGGTCATTTGTTCAAGGTGCATTGCAGATCCTTACTGTTGCTGATTGTTTAACCAGCAGATCTTCAGTCTTTGAAGCTTCCCTCAAGGCTACTCTTGCTAGGTTGAGTACAAGCCTCTCTTTCTCAGTTTTTGGGTCAAGTATTGATCAGAACAAGCCAGATATAGTCAATGATGATGGAAATGGGCAATTATCTGTGGCTCGAAAAGCTGCCTTGGATGTGGCAGCTGTGAGACTGGTGGATATTCCTGAAAAGGCTCGGAAGCTTCTTAATTTATTGGAGCAGGTCAGTGGCTCCCACAATAGTTACACATATGTGGAAGTTTTGGCTTTTTTTTTTTGAGTTCCTTAGCAATTCTATTCCTTCAATGCATCCTTGCCAATCTTCTACAATGAAAATTTGATCTCACTTTGACGTCGTCTTTTTTGTGCCTTCTGCAGTCTAAAGATCCCAGGTTCCATGCACTTCCAGTAGCATCACAACGAGTTACAGCTTTCTCAGACGCAGTCAATGAGCTTGTTTACGATGTTCTTATTTCAAAAATACGGCAGCAGTTCAATGATCTGTCACGGCTGCCCATATGGTCATCTGTTGAAGAACATAGTCTAAGGCCCCTCCCAACCTTCAGTTCATACCCACAATCTTATGTGACTGGCGTTGGTGAATATCTCCTTACGTTACCCCAACAACTAGAGCCACTTGTAGAGAATATTTCCAACAGCGATCCCAATGCTGATGAAGCCCAGTACTTTGCAACTGAATGGATGTTCAAGGTATATATGTTTTAGTTATATATTTTGTAATCAAGTGTTAAGCATTTACCTACAAGTATGCTATCAACTGAGCTTTATTCCACCTGGTCAGCAACACCACCATGTAGAGGCGGAGTTTTGATTAGGAACTACTTTTGCAGAGTGCTTTCTTTTTTCTTTCTACGAATCCACGTCTCCAAGTGTGTTTCTTCTCACAGTTATTTCCTTTGCCTCTGTTTTTGAAAAGGTTGCTGAAGGTGCCACGGCACTTTACATGGAACAGCTTCGAGGGATCCAGTATATAACAGATCGTGGAGCACAACAACTCTCTGTTGATATCGAGTATCTAAGCAATGTACTATCAGCTCTATCAATGCCAATTCCTACATGTCTTGCTACATTCCAGACATGTTTTTCAACACCTAAAGATCAGCTCAAGGATCTTATAAAGTCAGATTCTGGGAATCAGCTTGATCTTCCTACTGCTAACCTCGTCTGCAAGATGCGACGTATCAGTTTAGAATGATGACTACTTCTTAGTCATCATGCTGTGTTGTTACTGCTGCAGAGAAATGGTACAACACTAGACCTATTTGTTGTAGAGAGTTTTGTTTTTTTCTCCTTTCTCCATAGATAACAGTTGTGTTTACTTTCTAGACCTTGACAAATTTTTGTACAAGTACGTTCTAAAGTTATATGTGAAAGATATGATTTTTGTCAATAATTCTGAATTCTCTATGATATATCCCCTCAAGTACATTTATTATATCCCAAAACAGATGAAAGAATTTCAAATTCAGTTATGAATATTTACGAGGCTCATATTTGACTTCTAAACAAGATGATTTCATTCACTAAAAACATAGATTGGCCTATAACTCAAAACGTATTGGCTGGTGAATCTCTAAAAAGAACAATCAATACAAGTACATCTTGCCCATGAGTTCCATTAACTGTACAATCCTCCCAACAAGGTCAAAAGTAGTTTATCAACATCTATGTCATCCCTCAGTCTTCACTTTTGATGCCGCACCCATGTTGGATTCTCCAAAAATACACTACTTTTGGCGAATCCAACACGCACCGTTGACATTTTTGAAGAGTCCAAGCAACATACCTCATATGTCTTACAGGTTAAGTATGATTTGATACTAGTTACCTTGAAGCTCTTCTTAACTCTGATTCTCTAGTTCATTCCCAGAGAATGCCTTACGACGATCACACCTAATGAGCAAAGGATGAACAGTGATACCTTCTAATTGATGTTAGTGCAAATCATTCTTATGTAAAATTCTGCAAAACATAAATAGCAAATCTATAGCAGAACAGAGACAGTAAGGTAAAATATTCCTCTTTTCAAGTTATCTTGCATGAACCTTCCCAGCTAAATTGGTACTGCTGCGGCAGGATTTTATGGAAGAAAACATTGAAAGATTATAAATCACTTATGCTTGAAACAAAATGACATTTCTTCCTATGGATAAGAAAGGTATTTACCAAATTAGCGACAAAGCAAGAAGCAGGGTGAGGAGGCCTACACCAAACTACAAGAAACCTGTAATCAAGCATCATCTTTAAAGAACAAAATACAATGCTCCAACTCTCTAACCACTCAATATCAATGTAATACATTATTACTAGTAAAAACTGTTCAAAATCGAGACAATAACATCATCCACAAACATCTGATCAACATTTACAGACATCATGCTCAACTCTCATAACCCATACATGTCTCCAAAACAGTCAACAAGAAGGTTTCAAATGTGTCATCAGTACTTACCAGAAAAGATAGTTAACACAGGGTGAATTAGCTCAACAAGATTATGTGGCTGCCTTCTATATATTACACAAGCTAAAAGCCATCAGAAAAAGAAGATTCTTCTACATACCCCTTTGTGTAGGAGAAGCCTAAAAATGTAATGTGAAAACTCATCAACGCAGCAAACTTCTTCCACGCAGTATGCTGCAAGTACAAGTATTGAGGAACTAAAGTGTAGAAACATCTATCTTCTCAACAAAATCAAGGACCAGCATCTTATTTGCTAAGAGAGAAGCCTACATGAATTACATACTCAAATGAAAAAAAAAACAATTTACGTACATGATCGTTTTTTAGTGCTAGTATTCCACAGAGAAGAAAAACAAACAAGATAGGAACCTTATTGAAAGAAGAACTAGAACTGAACTCACCCAACTAATCTGCAATAAAAACTCAACATTTACCTAAAGCCATATAGCTAATGTTACAAGTGAGGCAATCCCTCAAACAACGACCATAAGTTACAAAATATCATCATAGGCAACGATTTCCCTACCCTTGTAAGGCTCAACCAGCCTTGTACTAACATGTGCACGAACATTACCGCCAGCATTATCATTATCCTCATCTCTGGGGTTCACAATTGCTGATCCCAGTCGATTACTTCTTCCGTGCCTACTTAGTGGCACTTCTGCTTTAACTAGCTTTGATGCAACCGTTGATGTGGATAGTTCATCCTTTCTCATCACACCTTCTTTCCACTGCGATGCATGGTCAGTTGCCCATATTACCTGAACCTGTCATCCCCAACAAAAGTAATGCCGCAATACATGAGCTCTTAATTTTACTTTAAAAAATACATCTTGGATGGAATTTAACATGCTACAATGTGTTACTCTACCTTGATTGTGCAAAAATTATATAGATTGTCTGTGTATACATGCTACAACCTTACATTGCCCATCTATATAATTTAAATCAATTATACCAGCTAAAGTAACACCCACATGCCAAAATTCTTGGCCGAGCTATGACCAAGAATTTAGCTAGCGTTTGACCATAGATTTTGGGACTAGTTTTTGAAATTTTATCTTCAAATATCCGTTTGATCATGAAACTATAATCTAATCTTCAACTATTTCAAGTTCCCAAATTTTTGAATTTTTGAGACTTCCACTCACATAACTTCAATTTTTTCCCAAGAAAATTATGTCCAAATTCAATTTCAAATTCCAAAAATGACAACTTTTTTATGACCGTGATATCCGGCTGACTAATTTCACACGGGATACTTGCCACCTCCCATTAGCAACTTTCACATGGGATACGTGCCACCTTCCACTAGTAACTTTCACACGGGATACGTGCCACCTTCCACTAGCAACTTTCATACGGATACTTGTCACTTCCCACTACCAACTTTCATACGGATACTTGTCACTTCCCACTACTAGGTAACTTTGTCCACCAAAGCTAGGACTGATGGAAACAATCACTACTACCGGTTAACTCTGCTCACCAAAGCTAGGACGATGAACCAACCACCTAGTTTTTATTATCTCCATGCTGAGATTTGAACCTAAGATCTCACCGCTCTCAACTACATTAATGACCACTAGGCACACCCTAAGATGCCAATAAATAACAAATTCAAAAACTCAAATTTGCAAACAAAGACTCAATTTTGCAAACATCTAACAGACCCAGGTGAAATTAACACAAAAAGAAGCAAACTTGACACAAATTTCCACAATTAGAAGATATTAGAAAAAAAGAGGAGAAAGGGACGTACAGGCTTGGAGTGGAGAGTAATGGGAAAAGATGAATCTTCGGCAGCTTCAACAGCAGATTGAGCAAAATCATTAGAACGGTAAGTGATATGAGCAAGACCATTAGGGTCCATACGAGTTCGAGAGATGGATCCGTAAATCTCAAAACGAGATTTAATGTCGAGCACAGAGCATTCAGAAGGAACACCAATAACCACCACAGTAGCCGGCTGTTGCTTGTTGGTCGATGAGTTGTCTTCCGGCACCGGCAATGGATCGTCGGTGATCGGTGTTGGACGGCGGCGCTTGGGGAAGGAGTACGGTGCGTGGCGATTGAAGTGGCTTCTCTCTCTCTTGCGGCCCATGATTTTGGGTTCTAATCGCTTTTGGAGTCTTCGACTATTTATTCTTTCGTACGATTCGTAAATCATATTAAAGATGTAAATTGTATTAAATAAGCTTGTCGAGTTTTTTTGAAATAAATTAAAAAGGAAATTACGTTAGAAACCTAAAAAATGCTGAAATAGTATAGATTTATTTAGATTCATGGAATATTTGATTATTTATGGTAAAAGTTGTGTATAACTATAAAGGTTATTTTAAATAAAGATATATTATTAACAGTTGAAGTTCATTTGTTTTTATTGAGATTATTAAATTTAAATTTTAAATATAAATTTATACATTAAGAAAATTTAGATACATATTTAAATCTTAAAAAGAATGTATTTAAGATTTGAATTTGACTAATTAAGATGATTTGTGTTTCTTTTTTTAACATTTTAAGTGTTCTTGAGTTTTGGTTGGTGAGATTTTTTAAAATTAACAAAAATTATATTCGCGTGATAAATTCATTCATTTTCAACTAAATATTTTGAATTTGAGTTATAAATACAAAGTTATTTTTTAAAAAAGACCTACATCAACTTGAATTTTTTTTAAAAGTAAATTCAAATTTAATATAATCACAACATGAATATATATAAACTTAATAGATAAATAATATACATACTCCTAAAATCATTCTTCTTCTTCATAGACAAAAAAAAAAATAGGTGTATCTCATAGGGGAGACACTCATCTAGTATAACCCTTTACTTAAAAAATTTTGTACTAATTGTTTCTTCAATAATTGTTGATGTTAGCTTATTAGGGGGCACAAAAATGAGTTGACTACTAGACTCTAAATCAATATATACATTACATAGATTATCAAGTAGATTTATGTAAACTCTTTTGTCCTAATGAATATCATGTGAACATCCAAAAAAAAATATTAAAATAATTAAATTAATTGAGCGACTTTTTAAAATATTAATTCCGTAAAAAAAAAAATCGATTGTACATAGTTTACTCCCCCCTAATGATATTTCCTATGCTTAAAATCTTCAAAACCCTATCAAAATACCAAATCCTAAATTCTCCTCCTTTTGTTCATTATTCACCATGAAAATGCACCTCAATAGTGTAAAGAAATGAGCTAAAATCTCTGTATTTTACACTTTACAGTACATTTTTCATCCCAAAATGGCTATTTCTTTATCCCACTCTCCACAGCTATGGACTTTCTCTTATAGAAACACTAACCCATCTTTCTCATTCCCCAAGATTCATTCTTTCTTGCATCAAAATCCAAAAATTCAATTAAAGACTCAATCTTTTCCAATATTACAAACTTTTAGCCATCTGGGTCGTGTTCAAAGGTTAATTAGAGCTTCTTCTTCTGATAGTTTTCTTGAAGTAATTGAAGAAGAAGAGGGTTTACTGGCTAATGATGAAAAACCATTGAAATTCTTGTTTTGGGTGTTGTTATGGGCGTCTGTGTCTGTTGGTTTGTTTGCAGTTTCTGGGGATGCTAAAGCTGCTGCTGCTGACTCTATTCGGGCTTCAGGTTTTGGTGTAAAAGTTGCTAATGCTTTGAGGAGTTCAGGATGGCCTGATGAGGCTGTTGTGTTTGCTTTAGCTACACTTCCTGTTATTGAGCTTCGTGGGGCAATTCCTGTTGGTTATTGGTTACAACTTAAGCCTAGTGTGTTGACTGTTTTATCTGTTCTTGGGTAAGTTTTTCAGTTTCTCTTTAAATTCAGTAATTTGAATGGAAGATTGCATTTTGCTACAGTCCTTGAATTGAATGTTTTGTTTCATCCTCGGAAGTATTCTTTTACTTGCTGTTCTGTAGTTTGAATTAGACATAATAAACATACGCTCGAACTTGGTCTCAACTGGCAAGTAGCACTCCAATTTTGAAAGTGCATATATAGTCTCGACTGATAACTAAACAATCCAACTCGTTCCCATTGTGTCTTGTGGACAATCGATGTTGATGTGGCACGTACATATTGGAGGTGTATAGATGGTCATTTTGTATGTTGGAGTATTCGATTGAGGGTGGAAACGAATTGAGGTGTCTAGATGTCTATACTGAAAGTTGGAGTATTTACTTGCTAACTCAGGCCAAGTTCAAGTGTGTTTTATGAACTATGCAGCATGAAATATGTTGCTTGCAATTAAAAGGAGTATTGTCGTGCTGTAACTTTGAATATGGCTACTGGTACTTCAGATGTTATTTAAAAATGTATATACAAGCAAGATCGAGTTGTTATTTACTGGTAATTGGAGTATCAATTACTGTGAAAATGATGTCTATTAATGATTGTTTTTTGGTAGTTTAGACTTCAGAAGCTATAATCTTTATATGAGAGTGAAAGGTAGTGTTTTGATGAGTAGCTAATTCTTGAAAAGAGATGTAACTTTAGTTCCTTGAGACTTGTTGGTCAATCCTGTTTTCTATAGGGACAGTTGACAATTGAATCCGATTTGACTATTGTCACCTGATAATCAAGTTGTTGTTGCATTGACGAGAACATAATTTTTGGAAGTTTGATGCCTGTGAAAAACATGAAGGTGAAGAATGTGTCCCAATGACTGAGGGGTCGTTTGGTAGGATGTATTAGAGAAAACAATACCTGTATTAGTTGTGGGGTGTATAACATGTATTAGTTATACATCCCATCCACATATCCAGTATTATAGGGTGTATAACTAATACATAGTAAATCATGATATTAGCAATACAAGAGTTACTAATTCATGGTTATGTATGGTTAAAGACAAAACTTCAATCAATACACCGATAAGAAATAATCTCAGCATTACTAATTATACTCTATGAATACTCGTCTATACATTCTACCAAACAAACCCTAAGTAACTATCAAACAAGCTCTATAGCCATTGTTTTACATTAGTTAGACTTCAGAAGCTATACTGACCATGTTAACCTGACATGAGTGGAAATGGTAGCACTTGGAGTGTGTCTTATTTTCTGTTTGCTAATGATCAAGAACTGGTGCTCAATCTGTAGGAACATGGTTCCGGTCCCCTTCATTGTGCTCTACTTAAAGAAGTTAGCAATTTTCCTTGCTGGAACGAACAAATCTGCATCGAAGCTTTTGGATTTGTTATTTGAGAGGGCCAAAGACAAGGCAGGTCCTGTGAAAGAGTTTCAATGGCTTGGTTTAATGCTCTTTGTGGCAGTTCCGTTTCCTGGAACCGGAGCTTGGACAGGAGCCATTATAGCTTCTGTGCTCGACATGCCTTTCTGGTCTGCTGTTTCAGCAAACTTTGTTGGTGTTGTCTTGGCTGGCCTTCTAGTGAACTTGTTGGTGAATCTTGGACTCAAGTATGCCATTATAACCGGCATAATACTATTCATTATTTCGACGTTCATGTGGAGTATCCTTAGAAGTCTTAAAAACTCTATGAGCTCATCAAGCTGATATCAAATTCTGTTGAAGTTTTGAGGCGATCAGTACAACCCGTTATGGATAGAACAGAAATGGAGAAGAGAAAGAGAAGTCCTTTTTCTTTCTTTGCACCTCGACTAATTCCACGGGGTACCTGGCACCTCCCACTAACAACATGTACCAGGTAACTCTGTCCACCAAGGCTAGGACAGGACGGATTTAGTACAACAATTTTCCTTCACATACTGTTATTATTTGTATTGGGATCCATCATATCATCTCTTCAATGAAAAATGGCTCAACAAGTCAAATTAAGTTGTCTCACCCAATTCTTCTGGTTATGGTTTTTCCTCTTTACTTTCTATATACATTGATAATGATGTATTCACTACACAAAAAAATCATCTTTAGCGGCATTAATCAACGGTAATAATAGTTCAATTGCCGCTGAATATGTTTTTTAGAAGCAATTACTAGTGACAACTACATGTTAACACTCTTCGTAAATGTAAGCCTAGTGGCATAACAAATCAAGGACCTGATACCAACCACCTGATGTTTCTAATTTTGTGTGTTGAGTGTTTGAGACTATGTTGCTCTAGAGTTTTCAAAACTGTTGTCGAATCTGTGTTGGACCCTTCGAAAATGCACTACAAAATACACAATCCAAAAAGCTTCCCCCACATAAAACTTTTCTTGTTGTAACATATATGTGAGTCCAAATAAACACATGAGTCCAATGTCCATCCAATTTTATTAGACACCTTACAATAGTTTATTTAGTCAAGAAAAGAAAAGGGAAGTTTAGAACCAAAATGATATAAAGCAGGATAATATTAAACTCTTTTGTTAATCTAATCTATAATTGAAGATAATTTGCTTTTAGAATTTCGTTTTATTCTTAATAAAGTGATTTATAATCACTCGTCAAGAAATATCTTAAATCGCAAATTTCAAAACTCTTTCGAGGCGTTTGGCTATAAGTTTGTTTTTACATTACTCCAAGAAATACAGTTTGGTTATTCGGTTGGTTGATAAAAAAAATTAAGGTACTTATGTATTGATTACGACCCTTGATAGATAGAAAAAAATAAGTTATTCGTGTATACAAATAATACGAATCGTATTATATGATATATTGTTGACAATTTAAAAATCAGCTATCAAATAACTTTGATGTATAGAATGTTTTCTTTCTTTGTGACATGTCGTACGCACGTGGGTAGTGGTGTCCTTAGAGATGGCAATGGGAGCGGATTGAGCTCGACCCGCAAAATCTTTACCCTGTTCCGCAATACTTTTTTAATATTTTCCTTTTTTAAAAATTATGTTTAATACTTCAAAGAAAATTAATAAAAGTAGATTCATATTCACATTAAGATGTATTAATCTAATAGATAATGACTTAAAATTTTATTTTTTAGAGGTCAATCGGGAAGCATGTAAGAAACTATATAAGTTTTGATTAAACCATTTTTATCTACTGCCTTGAATATTTTAGTAACTTTAAATAAACTATCTTAATAGATAATTCTCTACTATTCTTGTAACATGTAAAAAGTTAAAATTAAGTTTGAACCTACGTGGATCCACAATCTGCCCTGCACCGCATTAGTTTCTAAAAATATCACTTCAACCCACCCCACATCCCTCCCCGTCCCGCACGACCTTAAAACCTCCCCTCCTCACATTACTTTAAACCCATTCTACATCTGTTCCGCCCCATTGTCATTCCTAGGTGTCCCACGAAAACGACCTTATACGTGTCACATCACACACACTTCCTGAATAAAAATAGGCCCTTCCACTTTTGGACACTTCCCCAATTTTGTCAAAACAAAAGCCCAATTTCTTCATCAATTATGGGCCCCCAATTACATGCTTATCCACATAGCCTTTGTAAAGTAATAATTGAAAGCGACTTATTGGGCCCAAATGGGCCCACTATCTCCATGTGTTCCCCGCCACGTTGCTCGGCCCATCAACATCAACTTATTGGCATCTTGTGATGGGCCCATTGGGCTTTCATTTATTTATGTGGCATCTGACTGAGGAGAAAGACACGTGTAACATCCTGTTTCCTACTTGTCGATATTTTACTTGTCGATATATAATGTATACAGATATTTTTGGTTTTCCCTGTTCATTTTTATTTGTCATATATTTTGCTAATTTAACTCTATGAGATAGTGATAAGGTTTGTATATATTTTATCCTTTCAGATTTTACTGAGTATTTTATTGTCATATTGTTTTGTTTACAAGAATCCGTTTAACTAAATTTTTAAATTTATTTAATTTAATATAAACATAACAAGTAAAAGTGAGCGCTTGAATCCTCTGTCTTCTACTCCTTCCGTTTAATAATAATTACTATTCTATTTTGGGATGTCGAACAATACTTATTCAATTTATAAAATTAATAGATAATTTTACACTTGATTTCTAATTTATCTTCATCACTAATTATAATTATTTTTTAAGTTATTGCATTTTTTATATTCAAAAAATGATATAGTAAAATTATTTTTTGAATCTATAATTTTTTTTTTGAAAAAATATGTAAAATCAATAGTAAATAACTATTATCGGATTTAAGAATATCAAAGTCTTAATACATAAAGTTCTAGAAACTAATTTTAAAATTCACTTTTGATTCATGTCCTTAAGTCTATGACTCGAAACACGTGTAATTTTTTTTTTATATAACTAACTTCAAAAATATATATTCAGCTTAATATTTTAAAATTAAAGATATCTTTTCTATTTGGAGCTAAATTCTAGCTACTAATGCAACACAAAGTTATATTTATATATTCAAAATATTTACTGGATATATATAAATAATAATTAAATTAATTTGTTATTTAATCAATATCTTATCTCTTACTTTACGTAGTATTATTTGATCTAAGATTGATATTTTAAAACTTGTGATCTAAAATAAATCTTAAATATTTGTGTGACTATAAATCATTTTATTAAGAATAAAATAGAAACCTAATGTTAAGTTTTCTCTAATTATGGAAAGATCACATTCTTTTAATCATTATGCTATTTGATAAAGTTTATCATTTCAGGTGCAGTTTTTTTCCGAACCCTGCTAACATGAAATGCTCTTATATATTGGCTCACGCAAATACATATACATTCAATGAATCGAGTCATCATCTTAAAATAAATCACATACAATTTATTTAAACTTCTAAAGTTATCATTTAGTTACGATCCTTTTTCAAACCCGACTGATATTAATTTTAGTTTCCCTCATAATTCCACATGTTAGAAGTTCTTTGAACATGAAGCCAAAAGGGCCATTTCATGATATTCTTTAAGTTACGCAAGCTCTTAAATAAGCAAATTAGTACAAAGTTGTTCCTCATCCACAAAACTTGCATCAACAAAGAAAGATAACTTGTTGATTTGAAGTAAACAAATGCAATTAAAAGATGTCTTAATTTGCTTAATCAATTAAGTAACTTAAGAGCCACATATTTGAATAAAAACAATGACATATCATAAAAGTATATAGATATGATATATGCCTAATGCAAGTAGTCATCATGAGTTGCAACTATTTCTCTATCATATTTAAAATCACAAATCTCTTCTAATGTATCACTCTTTTACTTTTTACGGAGAGTCAAAATTTTAATCTAAAAATTTATATTTTTATTAATTTTTTGAATTTTATTTATTGATAACACAATATCTTAATCTAGTTAGCACATATGAAAATTTTGTCACGTAACAAGCATTTTGTATTTTTCATTCCAACTTAAATAGTCTTATCAAAATTTATTTAAACTATTTGTAATGACGCTAAATTTAATTTCCTTTCATATCGAGTGTTAGTGAAAATTTACAAAATAACAAAATCAACATCGAATCTGATTAATCATGTTAAATATTTTATTAAAAAGACAGGGGAAAATAAATATAAAGAGGACTACACAAAGTACTGATCAAATCTTAAAAGACTACTAAATATTATCATGTAGTTTGTCTCTAAGTTATTGGTTTATCTAAAAAGTAAACTTGATTCCTCAAGAATTTAATAATTAACACTACAAGCTTAGTGTTTGGTTAGTTTCTAAATAGAGGCCTTAAAAATTAGCTTATAAAAATATAGCTCGATGGATAAATAGTTGATTTTCTATTTATTTGATATGTTATTTAGTGTTATAATAGAGAAAAAAAGTTTTATTAGATATAAACACAATTATAAAAAAATTAAAACACAATAATTAAACAAGTTGAATTCTGATCAGTATTTTAGCTCAAATAACCTTTTGGCGAATCAATAACCTATTCATTTTTATCCTCTCAAGTTTAATCCAACACATTCATATTTTACCATTTAAGTTTAACTCAATCCATCTACTTACGCCTCGAATTCATTTGATTTTAACAAAAAAGATAATGAACTTGAGAATATAAATATTTCATTTGATTTGTTCCTTCGAAGCAACATGATTTCTATCTTTTTTTTAAAAAAAAAATATTAAAATAAACACCATGATTAAATTTTAGCAATTAAAATATATTATAACAATTTTTTTTTTGAAAAAGTCAATAGTACAAATTACACATGTTAACATGTAACAAGAAATACATCATCAAAGATATTCATGTTTTAAAAAATGGTTGATTCCTTTAATTAAAAAATATTAAACTTATGGGGTGTGTGACAACGTCCATTTTATAAAGTTAATTAAAGTAAAAGAGATTGTCAACAAAAAAGTCATTGCCTATATTAAAATACACTTTTGAATCCAATCATCCACAAAATTTGACTTTACAAGGGTATTATCTTGTCTTTTACTTTTTTTTAAGCTATAATACGTGAGATAAAAATAATAATTTTAATATAGTTTTTTTGAAATATTGATTAATTTTAAAATTATTTTATTTATTATCGCAAAATATTCTTATTTTATCTTGTTTTGCGGTTAGTTTTAACTTCTTTTTGGTGTTTTCCGTTTCTAGAAATTAAATAATATATATATGCTTGGAAGGTTTAGGGAGAAAATAAAATACTAATATTTTCTGTTTCATTGTTTATGAATATAATTTTTTTGTTATAGTTTATTTAATACTGATGTCTTTTTGTAATTATTTTGTATAGTCCAATTGATTTCATTATAATTATAAATTACGAAATAAAATTACATATACAAACACCTATTAAATATTTTCAAATTCAAAAAAATACAATCATTAAAGTGTGTACGTACTTATTCAATATTATATAAATTTAAGCAGATTTAAAAGTGTCTACTTAAATATATATTCAAAATTGAATGTCAGATATAACAGAATTAAACATACATATATACACAAATATGTTATTTAATTTGGTTTCAGCTGATATTTATACATTCAACTTTGGATATGCACAAATAGGTACTTATCCGAATTTGTATAACATCGAACAAGTAGACACAAACGTCGTATGTGACATAATACATGCATCATGACAATCACATAATTATACAAAATTGTGATCTAGGACACCACATAAGACACAAAATAGTCATGTAGAACGAATGTGTCAATTGATTCAGTTTTATACGAGTTTAATTGCGTACTTATCCACACTCAAAGTTAGAAAATATAGAAATTCAACTGAATTAAGTCAAGTTAAAAGATATATTTATGTATTATTCAATTAAATAATATGTCAATTCAAACTACAAATTTTAATAACCCTTTTTAATACATTATCCAAATTTTTTTTTCTAATATCTTTTTTAATCAATAGTCAAACAAGATCATATAAAATGAACTCGATTTATTAGACTAAAAGCAAAAAACTTCTTAAAAACTATACTTTTATTTTTTTATACATGACCAATACCTAATATAATCCAATGGTTTTTCCCATTGTAGAAGGGGTTTATTTTTAGTCCATAGTTTTCTATTCAAAACCCCTTCTTTTCCCACTAGAAGAAAAATGCACATGCTTTTGTTTACTTTTGTACATATACTAGAAAATGACTTGTCATGATATAACCTTTTCTAAACAAGGCCAAAGGATCCAATATAACTTTAATTTTATTTTTTTTAGAAAAAAAAAAGTAGTAAAAACAAACTAAATCACTTGTTGTACCTATGTTTAATTCATCATAATTAACTGAAAAAGAAAGAAGAAAAAAAAAGGCAATAGTACAATTTGTTTTTAAGCTAAAGTAAAAATAAAAAGGCCAATCACAACTTTTTTTTTGGGAACAAAGCTAATAAAAGAGTCTAAAAGACACCTCATATAGTCAAACTAGTAGTACTTAGTAATCCTATGTACAACATATTATTGTTCAAAGAAACTTAGCAAATGCCTTTGGAGTTTGGACAACTAGAGTCGTACGAGATCTATCAGAAATAGTTTCTCTACCTATACAGGATAGAGACAAGACTGTGCGCTTGCTTGTGTACGTGCGTACATATAATTATCTTCAGACTCCACTTGTGGGATTTATACTGATCTAAAGTAGGATCGAGCCAAATCTTGTAACCTAACAACTCAATATTGCCAGAACCAACAAGGTTGATCTTCAATTTGGAAACTCAAATTGCATGAATTCGCTTGAATTTGATCTCCGATTTCGGGGAAATATAGAAAGTTCTTGCTTAGGTTGTCATCTTCATCTCGAGAAAAATCAGATGGCTCTTGTTCAAATACATTTGATGAATGATTCCCATCAGTGTAATGTGGGCTATCTGAATCAATAACATCACTTTTTGCTGATGTTGCATCTTCTTGTTTGCACATTAACTTTGGTACATTTGAGGTAACAACAATTGGAGTTGTTGCTTTTTGAGCCTCTTGTGTGTCTATTGGACTAATTGGTTCACTTTGCTCTGAGTTTTCCTTTCCTTTCTCCCTTATATGCAATTTTTGTGTAAGCAAATGGACCTATTCAACAAAATCAAAGAATATATTAGAAACCCCGCTAAGAAAATGGACGTTATCGGTAACTCAACTCAACCCCAGAAGCTATCTCTAGAGGTGAAGATTGTTGAAACAGACCATTAGGAAGACAACAAGCTATTTCGTTATCTTATAACGCTTAACACGCCTACGAATGAGTCTGGGTCTAATACCATGTTAAGAAAATGAAGGTGAGCCCTAACTTACTCTAATAACTAGCTTCTCGAGCGAGGATTGTTCAAAGACCATTAAGGAGAGAACAAGCTATTCACTCTAACTTTTATCACCCCGGCATGCCTATGGATAAACCATTAATAAGGATGAGTCTGACTCTAATACCAAGTCAAGGAAATGATGTTGAAGCCTAACTTAATCCCAGAAGCTAGCTCTCGAGGTCAAGTTTGTTACCATTAACAAGACAACAAGCTATTTCCTCAACTTTTAACACCCCGACACAACTAGGTTGGACAAATCAAGAACGAGTCCGACTCTAATACCAACTTAAGGAAATGATGTTGAAGCCTAACTTAATCCAATAAGCTAACTCTCGAGGTGATCGGATTGTTTAAAGACCATTAACAAGACAACAATCTATTTCCTCAACTTTTAACACCCCGACACAACTAGGTTGGACAAATCAAAGAACACGAATGAGTCTGACTCTAATACCATGTAAGCGGCAACTACTCATTTCCTCAACGATACATAACAAACCCCTTGGAAGTAACTCTAATGCTAATGAAGAATGAAGTATGATCAAGATACCTCATTTCTCAAATCCTCGTTCTCTTTGAAAAGGGTGTCATAATCAGCTTTAAGCTTATCAAAGCTAGCTTTCAAAGCATCATAATCCTTCTCAAGTACTTTAGTTTTGTATCGAGCGCGCCTATTTTGAAACCAAATAGCAATTTGTCTAGGCTGCAAGCCAAGTTCATTAGCCAATTGAACTTTCCTCTCTGGTTCAAGCTTGTTATCTACCTCAAAACTCTTCTCAAGAAACTGAACTTGATTAGGCAAAAGTCTTCTCTTCTTCTCTGGCTGATGATAACAGCTATCATAATCATCATTGCTAGTTTCTTCTTTGTCAATTCCTGGGAAAAATGACCTCTCTTTAGACACTTCTCCTCGACCAACATCTTCGAAATTAACCATTGATACAGAACCTAAAACAGAGCATTTCAAGAAAAGAACAAGGTCACTAATGTATCAAAACCGTGTAGCGTTCATTTATCAGATGATCACTCAACTAATAGTTATTAACTCAATAACGTAACCTTTCTTATTGATTCCAATTTTTTCAACAAACGAAGTAACTTTCTAAGACAATAAATATTAGTTGAGCGATCATACGAGAATCTATAGCCAACCAAATCAAAGCTATTATACTTCTAAAGTTAAAAAAGACTCAAACTTTAATAAAAAATTGAACAAAACAAGTGCCCAAAATCTACTCATTCAATTGAGCAAAATCTGATCTTTTCAAGAGAAAGTTAAATAATGTTAGTAACAAACCATACACTTGTCATCAAAAATACAACTTTTGAGCTAAAATAAACAAAAAGACTAAGTACTATAACCTTGATATAACATTTAAAGTTCAAAAGACACAATATTTGTATTAAAAATCCACTTAGTAAAAAAGGGTTACGGTCGAAAATTCATAAAATTACATGAAAAAGAACATATTTTTTAGAAGGGTGGAGAAGAATTCTTTACCATGAAAAGATGGGGAAGAATTGGACATCCAGAGACAATGAGAAAGTTTTTCATTAATAACCCTTCCAACTTCCATATTTATTTTACTTTCAACCCTTAAGTTCTCTAAGGTGCAAGAATTGTGAAAACAAAAAAACTATGTGGGGTTTGTTTAAGCAGTGGGAAATGGGGTTTTTTGATTGAATCTTGAAATTTGGAAAATTTTTATGTGATAATTAAGGGGAGAATGAAGAAGGGTCAGTGCCATTATCCAAGAAAAAAAAAAGAGTTAAAAAATTGAGTGAAGAAAATGAGTATGCATAAGTAGATGAAAGAGGAAATAAGTGAAAGAGAAAAGGAGATTCTTCCTTGGGAAGAGGAGATTGATGGGGTTTATAAGCAAGCTAGTTGAAAGGTGGAAGATGGGGCTCATTTTGAATTTCCTATTTTGCCCTTGAATTTTTTTTTTTTTGGTTTCTCACTCGTGTCTCGTATTCATATTTTTATTTTGGGCTTGTAATATAGTGATGGATATTTAAATGTCACGATGTAAATTCACTGGGCCGTGTAAATACCTACTCGAACATCTAGATAGGAGAATACTTATCAAACAAACTTTTAAAGCGGGCAACGGGGGAATAAATAAAAATAAGGAAGCTCTTTAATAATTAAAAGATCTATCTATCTATATATATATATATATATATATATATATATATATATCAAAAATATATTCATTGCATATATACATATCAAAAATATATTCATTACATATGATTGACAACATCTTTCGCTTCACATTATATCTTTCCAACTCCTTTACTCATATAAAATGATACAGATTTAGATATTCAGGATCGATCACAAACACATCATGAAGATCACCTTCATCTAATTTTGGTGCGATCTCTTTACTTTCGGAGGGCTCTAATCTATATTGAGAATTAATAGTTTGTTTATATCATTAGTAAAGCATTCAGGTAGCCTAAGGTCCTGTCCCGATAACCTATTTTCGGTATGTTAAAGGCTTTATAGACAATATTCAGATGAGTTACGACCTTGGTTGTTTTATAAACATATGCATATTACATGCTATGAAGTTATTGCATTGCATGCTCATATTTATAAACTTCCGCATATGTTTTGTAGCCTCCGGACGCTTGAGACTTATGATGGTTCGGAATGTCGGTTACGCATAGAGTATAAGCTCGAGATATGAAAAACTTGACATCAAAACATATAGTTCAAGTGTCTTAGAGAGTCTATGAAGTTGTGTCATTGGCAACTTATTTATGATTGTTAGAGTCCACTTCTACAAATAAGATACTACAAACATTTAAGAAAAGTTTTCCATTTTTGTATTGATACTACTCTTATTATGTACTGGATTCAGATTGTTGATGATGTCTGCCAGTACATGTTGATTGTATAAATGCTACTCTTGCTATGCCACTTGACAAAGTCTGACGCAGGATTCAATAATATTTCATAGGTGAAGACGATGGTAATCTCCAACAAATTTTACTTGTCTCTTCCTTGTGTTGGCGAGAGTTGTTTTTGTTTTCCTATTGTTCATATTCTTAGAAGCTACTGTACTTATTGAGACTAATTCCTATAAAAGGTTTTCATGGCATTCTCAAAAAGCTTTCATTGTATCTTCAAGGATTTTATATTGGAAATTGAGGTTGAGAAGTTTTCGGTCATTATTTTATATTTTGATTTTCTTCCACAATATTTATTTAAAATCGAATGGTAAGAGTTTTCTATCTAAATATTATAGTAGGTATTTGCACGATTCGATCGTGGATAATGGATAGAGAGCTAAAATCTACCAATTTGGTAAGTAATTAATGTAAGACTATAAATATTACACATAAACTTAAACTCTAGGCCATTAATAAAAATTAGCTAAAACAATCGATATTTTTTTGCTAATTTTAATGTATTAACTTGGTGTACGTGTTATACACCTAAATAATTTGTGACTGAATAATAAATTATTATATAAAAGATAATGTTATATGCGTACCTAATACTATATCAAGTATTAAAAAATAACATATATTATTAAGCAATGTATTGAGATATAAATAAGTTCTTTATTTGATGTCATCTATGATAAAAATTGTTTTACTAACAAAGTGTAGATTTGTAAAACGAATTCAGATTAATCAAATTTTAAAGCAGATATTGAGTACGAGAGAAAAAAATAAAAACTAATTTATGATCTAAAATTATGAATGATGTATATAGTCGATTAGGACTTCTCATTATAAAGATAAGGTCAATTGATGTATTAGAACATCGTACGTTAAGTAATTTTTGTTAAACTAATATTCTCTTCAAAATTTCATGTGATGTGACGTATGTATTATTATTTATACAATCTTTATTGCTTTATTTTACTAACATTACGTAACTAGCTATTATTTGTTTATAGATTTTCCAAACTTGTTAGTCAATGAAATCCTTTATTATAAAGTTGATTTTTTTTCTAAGTCGGTATTTTTGAATAAATTTCACTCAAATATGATAATCCGTAAATCACATTAAAAAGGTAAACCGTATTAGGCATTAATATCCTCCAAATACAATATAATTTTAGTGATTCTATTTGAAATTAAAAGTGTTTAATTTGATAAGGTTTGATTCTAACCAAATACTAAGCATTTGTTCTTGTACTTCCTAAAACCCTTAGCTTTTGCCACGAAAAATTGAAAAAAGATCGATCACATTTTGTTTTGTTTGGATCAAATATTCGGTATTTGAAAAAAAAAATCGTTTAATTTGAATTCGTATCGCATAAGACAGCCTTTGCATGCGTACATTCATCATACCCACATACACTACATAAAGAATAACTTTTAGCAACAATAAATAGACACATTAATAAAAAGTACGTGTTAAAGTTATTATCGGCATTAGTTAAATGTCATTAGATCAAATATCGCTAAAGCCTTTAGGGACATATACAAAGAGTGTTAATTGCCGCTAAAAACACATATTTAGCAGCAATTACTAATTAATTGCTGCTAAAGCTCATTTTTTATGTAGTAATACATGTTTCTTTAACTGTGAGTATGAATAAGTATACACTTAAATCTGTATAAAGTTGAATAAGTAGACACAGACATTCTGCATGAAATTTCTTGTGAGAAGTCACGTAAGCAGTGTGTATCTACTTGCATTCGAACTTCATATAAATTTAAGTATCTATTTGTGTACGCCCAAAATTAAAAAGGAACATATATATATATATATTAATTGAACTCAAATTAAAATGTAAATTTATGTGTTATGATAACGAACTTCACCTCAAAAACAAAAATAAAAAATACTTACTATCCGAACAACAACTCACTTTACCGCCCACGCATACATAAAATATCACACATAAAAGTAATTGTGCCAAACAATTATTAGTAAGGAATGAAAGTTCCATATGCCTAAAAAAGAAAATCTCCATAAAAAGCCTAGCTAAAAGTTTAAAAAAATGGTAGGTATGAGAAGGTTCAATAAATTAAATATCCACTAAAACCTTTGGTAAAGAAAAATCCAGCTTTTAAATTCTGAAAATTTTGCTGGCATTTTTGTACTATTATTGAGAAAAAAGAATTAAAAAAAGATTTGCATTCCTTATTCATTGAACTATATACTAAAAAATCATGTCATTCATTGGCTACATTGTGTGGTTGATTTACAATATCTCAATTTGCCCTATATACCATTTTTTAAAAGTTAAAAAGCAAAAAAGTTTGTGCCCTATTGATGAGACTTTCATTTTCCAAAATTGAATACCACAATTTTTAAAATATCTCCCATTCCTTTTTTATTCTTATAAATTTATTACTCCCTCGGGCTCTTTTTATTTGTCTATATTTTCTTTTATATTTATTTCTATTTACTTGTTCATTTTAACAAAATAATAAAGGATAATAATTTTTTTCTAATATGCCCTTATTTAATTTTAGAAAATTTCTAGTATTACTAAGTTATAATACACTTTTGAAACCAAAAAATACATTTATTATAATTGGAGAGTTGCATTTTTAAGTTAAAGATAAAATTGTAACTAACCTATGATTTAATCATTAAAGTCTAGATATGTGTGCCACTTCTAAAGTGGACAAGTAAATAGGGACAGAGGGAATATTATGATTTGAATCATATTGACAGTTGTTCGGGATCAAAATAACAAGGTGTTATATATTTATACGTCTTTCTTATTTTAAAATAAGTAAATTGTTGAGCTAATATATAGTTATTTAAAAAATTAAGATATAAAGTGAATATCATTTTTACTTTGCCCTTTTAGTTATTTTCAAATTATTTTGAAAAATATAAATATTTTAAAGTAAAATTAATAAATAAAAAATATTTAATGAACATATTATATTGTAAGAGAAAAGTAAAAACAAAATAATCAAATCAATCTTTAATAAATAATTCTCTTAAAAGAGATATATAAGTAAATAATTACGATAAATATTTTAAGACAGAGAAAAACACAACTTTTTGGGCACGCAAGATTTTGATATGTACACTGCACGTTACGACCTAACAATTGAAAAGGGAAAAAGTTATAAGCTTTTATAGTTAAATTAATTTGTTATGGTTGTGATTATTATAATTAGAATTAATAAGATAATCTAAAGTTTGTGTGTTTCAATTTTTCTTTTTTCACGAGGTTGAATGTTATAAGCGTACGTGATGCATTGATACACTTAGAGATGATAGTAGAGCGGGATTGATATTATTAAATATAGAATGGAGCAAATTTTTATATGTGTGAACGGAGCGCATATGAAATGGATCTGAATTAAAATCTTTAAGTTGATAACATATACTCGAACTATTTAATTTCATCTTAGAATTTGGGATATAAATTTAAAGTTTTAAAAAACCTTATGGTAGTGTATCACTGTATTTTTGTTATGAATTATGATTTGTTCATTTTGAAAGATTATAATTACTTATTTTTTAAATATAATTTTCATAAAATATGTGATTTTTATGTTAATGGAAAAAGTAAGTTTTGAGATTCAAATTGTATGTCCATACAAAATTTCAATTTTAAATCATGTCCAAACACAGACCCTAATAGGGTTACAAATTTAATTCTATTCCCTTTGTTCATCTTTACTTATCGTCGAGTATTAAACTTGACGCGCCTTTTAAGAACAGTAAATAGAATAACAATCTATATAAAATTTCTCTTTAAATATAATAAATTCAACGCTTTCTAAATATTTTAAAAATTATCATAATTGATATAATAAAAATAACTAATGAATAATTTATTGAATTTCTGAATTGAACAAGTAAAATTAATATATATTTATCAAGTATAGTGACAAATAAAAAAAATT